AACTACTATTTCTGCGCCCATCCCCTGGGGCCCCTCAGGGTCAGAGCTGGCTGAGAGCATATGACCCTGTGGTGGCTCCCCACCCCTCCCCCCTCATGATTGCTGCCTTCTGCTTCCTCTTCCTCCCTGCTGTTTCCTCTTTCCTTTCTTACTGAGCAGATTGGTACCTCCCTGGCTTTGGGTGGGGCTGTCTGACCTAGAGCCCATGAACTGGTCTGGAATGGTCTGTGAAGGCCTTATTTCTCCCAGTCAAACTGTACCAACCGAGTGCTGAGAGCAGAGTGGAGCTGTCCCCAAAGCAACAACAGAACTGTGGACAGACACCAGGGGTAGAGTCCCCGAAGCCCACCACTCCCCCGTCTGGCTGTCCCTGAGTTGGTGTGTGGGTGGTGGGGTGGGGGCAGGGGTGCAGATGGGCAGTTCTGCTGCGCTCACACCTCCTGCCCTGGATCCTTCATGCTCAGAAGAGGGGTGGGTGAGGGTGAGGCGTGGGGCTGGGTGTACAGAGAATCTTGAGAGGAAGATCTCCGGGCAGGACCACAGCCCCGCCATCATTGGCACGTTTCCATCTGTTCTGTCTGCATAGCATTGACCATCTCTTCCAAACCCTTCCAAATCTCCCAACTCTTCCAGAGTTTTCCACTTGCCCAAACAAAACATTATGCTGTAGCTGTAGCTTCAAGCCTTGTCTTTTCCTTCTGTTTGAGCACTTGGGTTCCCTTACAGATCTTTCTTCTCAAAGCTTTCTTCTTTCCTAAAAGTGATCATTATCTTATCTATTCATTTACCCTATAAAGTCCTGGGCTTCTTGAGACTACCTGCCAATGGCCGCAAAGGACCTTGGGATAAAGCCCTGAGTCGGACTGATCTCTCTGAGCAAGCTGCTGAGACTGAGCTGCAGGAAGAGTAACAAGGAGAGGATCCCTTGAGTTGACTTTCTGCCCCTAAGATGGCTTTGTGCCCTCAGTCCTGACAGGACCATCCTGTTTCTGTCCCGTCCTGGGTGTCGGGAGGCCTCGTTCCAGGCTGGCCTTCCCCTACCGGGGTGTCTCCCAGTGGCCGTGGAAGATATGACAGGAGGCGGGGTGGTGGCGCTCTCGCCATTGGCCTGGCTCTAACTGTTCCCAGCATCTATCCTTTGCAGATCTGCTGAGCCCCAGAACAGGCACGTCTGAGGATGGGCCACAGAGTCCATTTCCTCACCTGCAGCCACAGCCTGCCCAGCCCTGAGCAGCCCTAGACCCCGACTAGCGCCCTGAGCAGCCCTAGACCCCGACTAGCAGCCCCTGGTTGAGGCAGGGGGAGGTAGGGAATGGTTGATGAGGGACTGGCCTTACAAGGGTTGGGAGGGGTGGTAGCAGTGTGGTTACAAAGCAAGGAGGCAGGAGGCAGGTACTGGGGGTTGACTGGGTAGCTACTGGGGAGAGGGGGCTCCTCTCCACCATCTCCCAAGGCCAGCATCCCACTGCTGTGCTGTTTCTTGGGGTTTTGTTGTTGTTGTACTGGTGTGGTACTGTAATGGGTCCTCTGGGGGTTTTGTTTTTAACCCCTTGCTGCTTTGGGACACGTTGTTCCTTATCCTCACCTCAGAAGAAGTCCTAGTGCAAAGTCTTTTTTTCCTTTTATTTATTTTTTTAATGTTTTATTTATTTCTGAGAGAGAGAGAGAGAGAGAGAGAGAGAGAGAGACAGTGTGAGCCTCTCAGGGGAGGGTCAGAGAGAGAGAGGGAGTCACAGAATCCGAAGACAGGCTCCAGGCTCTGAGCTGTCAGCACAGAGCCTGACTCAGGGCTCGAACCCATGAACCGTGAGATCATGACCTGAACTGAAGTTGGACACTTAACTGACTGAGCCACCCAGGCGCGCTAGCAAAATCTTAATAAGGTCGGTAGTTGGACTGTCAGCTAATCGTTAAGAGATAGCTCGTTAGCCTCACCATCTAGCCCGGTCACTGAGTATCCAGTGTTGAGGACGGGGAGGTAGAACTCTGTAAAGGGCCACTTTTTGCTAACAAGGACTTAGGGGGCGGGGCAGCCAGCCTCACCTGGAAAAGTACGGGGGCCTCACCGTGTACGATCCTTCATGCCTGGTCTGTTGGCCCAGCCTGGCCCACCACCTGGGCTGCCATCCGTCCCCTCACAGCCCCCCTGGGCCATCTGTCCCCGCTCCCTTCCTGGGGCCTCTTGATTCTGCAGCTCAAGAGAAGAGAAGTGAAACCTGTGGTTCTTCATGCTTAGAACTCATCAGCTATCTTTCCTGTGAGAGACCATGAGTTCAGTGGCCTTTGCCTCAGCCTAGCTCAGCCCTTCCCCCCACCTCCATCCATGACCCTAGTCCCCTTTGAACTGCTGCGGGACCTTGACCTTTTCCTCAGAATAGCTGCCAAGGTGGAATGGAATGGAAAGAGGCCTGTGGAATGAGAGGTAGATTGGGCTTATAGGTGCCCTGCCCAGGTAGCCATGGGATTCTGAGCTCATCCCACTGCCTCTTTGGGGGCAAGGGAGGAAGTCCCAGGGGGCGCCCATGCCGGGCCTGGCTTCGCAGCACCTTTGAGGGCCTCCTGCCTCCATACCCCCAGACTCATGCCCCTACTGCTCTCTTGGGTCTCACATTTTCCACTGGAGGTTGGGGTCAGAGCTGGGAGAGAGGGCAGGCCAGGACCCTGGAGGAGGGCGGGGCTGGAATCTCTCAGGGGAGGTTACCAGTGTAGGCCCCTGCGGATCCCCCTCATCTACTCCCAAGGGAGCACGTGGGCAGGCCACCACAGGCCAGAGTCTCTGTTCCATCACGTCGCAAGCTTGGAGTTGAAGCAGAGTGATGGTGGGAAGTGCGTGCGGGAGGAGCAGGGTGCCTGGACACCGTGCTAGACCTTTGGGGCCCTCATTGGCTCTGACCAGCTCCTGCGAGGGCTTCCCAGGCAACACCAGGCTCTGTAGCTGGCAAAGGCCTTTCTCACTGCTGGGCCTGTCATGGGACAACAGTCGGGAGCCTCAGTGGGGCTTCAGGGGTCTTTCAGATGCAGAGGAAATCTGATTTGTCTCCATGGGCGGTGGCTGTACCCACATAGCAGCCAAGATAGGCTCCGCTGAGCCCTGGCAGGGGTGGGGGCGGGGGGCAAGGGGTTCTTAAAGATGGTACAACAGGGACCTAGGGACTAGGGTGAGAGTAATGCTCTGTTCACCTGTCTTTGAGATAGATGTGGTCGGTGCTATCATCCATGTGCAACTGATGAGGAAACCAGAGGGAGAAAAGATTGAGGAACTCGCATTTGGTTACACAGTGCATTAGAAGCATCGCTCAAAGATTTTAGCTTTCTTTCTGAACCAAGTAGCTTCCCAGCCAGGACACTGGACGGGTTATCTGTAGGACTGTAGTTTGCTTTCATCCATTACCCTTCGAAGAAGGTCAGCCGAGCACTCCCTCCTCCCCCCACCAAGATTCTACAAGTCTCTGAACTGGGAATTAATTATGAGGCATATGCCGATTGGTGGGATCCGGAAAACATTGCTGCCACTAAGTCTTCCGATGTCAGTCACTGGGACATTCACTTGGAGTAACCTCACATTTCCTGGGCTCACGTCCGTGAAGGACCTCTGTGATCTACCCTCGGGAACTGGTAGCCAGAGGGACCTGTTTGTAGAGGAGCCTAAAATCTAGGCTAAAGAGTTGGACCTTCATTCTTAACAGGATGGAGAGCCACTGAAAACATGATTAGGCAGGTGATGGAGGGGGTACGTGTGTAATCCCATTCTCTTCAGAAGGTGACTATGAGGTAGTGGAGAGAATGGCATCAGAGAACCCAGGTAGGGAGCTCAAGCCCAGGGTAAAGGAAGAAGGTGCTTGGGAGCCCCGCCTAAATTCACCTCTTCTGAAATTCCCTTGTATTTCACAAGCAGTAGCATTCATGACATGTTTGGGGTTTGGAGGCAGATCCCTAAAGATGGAAGAGTAAGTCTTGGGTGTCCTGCCCGTCAGGTTCATGGAGCTGAGGGATGGAAAAGGGCTTTGAGGCCCCTCTGACCCTTCCCCACCCTTCTCCATGAGATCTTGAATAAACCAAGGCTCTGGCTCTTTCCTAATGCCTGACCTTTTCTCCTGGGTTGGGGGTCTGCTTTGAGGTCTATTTTCCACGTACTTCCTGGGCTGAGGCTGACTCAGCTCAGCTGATGCTCTGCTGGGGACGCAGACGCTGACTCAGGAGGACATGGGGGCCCTTTCCCCAGACCCTCAGGAGAAGGGCAGTGGCTGGGCATGTGGTGGAAACTTTAGCGGTGGCTGGCTGAACTGTTTTTTCCATCCCAGACCGGTCCTTGGGATGAGAAGCAGCGGTAGGAGAGGGTACGTGTGATGTGTGAGCCACAGATGGAAAGAATGATCCTTCTGTCCAGTGGGATAGACTAAACCGGGCCCGGGAAGAGGATGTGGGTTCTGTCACCAGATTTCCCGCTGTTGGCTACTGCCCTAACTGGGTTGCTGCAGGTGCCATCTCTGCTACGTTCAAGGCTTGAGAGGAGTACTGAGCTCACTTTAGAGACAGACCCTTCTCCAGTGTCAGCCCCTCATCCACTTTCACCATTTCTGGTATTTTTATTAAAAAAACACTTCTACTTTTGCTGCCACCATGTTTCATACTGGCACACATAGAGGCATCCTGACCTTTGTGAGGTTGAAGGACAATAGAGGTGATGGTAATGACAAGAGTTGGGGTGGGGGAGGGGCAGGCATAATTTGAGTCATCTAGGGTGCTGGCACTGAGCCAGCTCTGCTGAAGGGCCTTGGGACCAGAGAGACGGGGCTCCCTGAGCGCCCTGGACTCTGGGTATCTGTTCCTACCCTCCCCTTGGCTTCTGTCCATGGAACTGCCTGGAGGGGAGCCTGAAGGTAGGGAGTTGGTGGTGCTGAGGCCCTGGGGTTGGCGGAGGAAGCCCCATGGGAGACTGTGTCTGAGCTTCCGGTGGAGGCTGACCTCCTGCTAACCCAGATGTCTGCCTTTTCCTGCAGGTTCCGAGGCTTCATCCTGCTGCTCACCTTCTTCATTTACACCTGTTATCACATGTCCAGGAAGCCCATCAGTGTTGTCAAGGTGAGGCCAGCCTGGTGGTAAGGAAGAATGCAAAAGATGCTGGGCCTCAGCAAAAATAAACTGTAGTAGAATGTTCTGGAACTTGGCCCAATACCATTCTTATTCCCTTAACCATCATCAGGAGACCACCCCTTCACATGGCCAAGCCCCATTCTCAGCAGTTGTTCTTCCCGGGGAACTTTCCCTGCATGTTCCTTTTGACAGCAGTGTTGCTGGCTGTGGGTGGAATGAGAGGCCCAGGATCCTGGGCTGTTTGGGCTCTGCTCATTGACTCCCCTTGCCCTTCACCGAGGGTCTGATGTGGCCACTGGCCCCAATAACCAATTCCTGCAGGAGGTCGTGGCAGAAGAAGGAGCGTGGAGCCCAGTGGGGAGTCAGTGGTGCTGGTGTGGTTGGGGAGGGAGATTGCTTGCTCCTCTCTGGGCTGGGTGGGCTCTGAGCCTGGGAGAGGACCCCTGACCCACTCATCCTACTGCCTCTTCAGAGCCGTCTGCACCAGAACTGCTCAGAGCTGATCAAGCCCATCAACGACAGCCACAGTCTCAATGATACTACGTGGTGCGACTGGGCTCCATTTGGTAGGAACAGCACGACTTGCTCTTCCCTACTCGGCGGCACCCCTCCCCAGGAAGGGTTTGTCCAGGGCCAGTGAGGACTTCTCGCAGGGGCAGCCAAGCACCCGCTTTCTGTCTCTGCCATCTGTTTTCAGACAAGAACAACTACAAGGAGTTACTGGGGGCCGTGGACAATGCCTTCCTTGTGGCCTATGCCATCGGCATGTTTATCAGGTACGAGACTGGCAGAGCCCGTGACCGTCCCAGAGTCAGCGTGGAGCAGAGCTGCTGCCTCCCCTCGACTAACCTGCGGGCCCCAGGGTTGAAGTGAAAAAGCCGATGGCTCCCCCAGGTGGAAATGAGACCCAGACTTGGGCACATACCACCAGCCCCTGGCCACCCTCGTTTCCTCACCGTGGTCACCTGGCCTCCTCCGTCACCTGGCAGACTCCCACTTTTAGTAGCTTCTTTTCCTGGAAAGTCTTTCCTGGATGCTCCTTCTGCGGCCATTCTCTAAGATTATATTGGTGGTGGTGCGGCTGGACAAATGCGGCTTGTCCTGAACTGGGATCCTTCAAGGGTGGCCCTGGACGTAGACACGACTAGGAAAACCGCTGTCCTGTCCTGGGCCTAGATCAGCCCAGCGAGCATGGCTTTTACATAGCAAGCCCGGTGTTTGTTGCCAGGAACCAAAGATCCCCGAATCCTCAGCAGCTGGTTACAAAGCAATGTGGTGGCTGTACGATGGGGGTGGCAGCAGGCCACGCTGGGGCCCAGGGGTAGTCACTTCATGCCAGCTGGGATGAGGGAAGAGGGGTTAGGGAAGGCTTCTTGGAGGAGATGATACTGGAAGTGAGGAAGAGCAGTGGAGAAGTGGCTGGGCAGAAGGAACAGCACAGGCAAAGAAAGGCAGGTGTGAACCAGTGTGATCTGGCTGGGGGTGTGCTTGTAACAGCTTTAATAGCAGAGTGGAAAACTGGAAGTGGTAGTGAGAGGTGGGGCTGAAGAGCCAGACTGCTGCGTGCCAGATGCGGGCACAGGACAGCCACTGCCGGTGGTCCCCAGGGGTGTCGTGTTCAGGTGTAGGCAGACATTTCAGACCTATCATTGTGGGTAGGATGGAAGATAGTATCAAAGGAGGACAAGACCGAAGGCCTCCTCACTCCCGCTAAGGAACAGACTTGACAGTGGCCCTGATGAGCTTTGAGACGTTGAGTTAGAACAGGAATAATAGACATGAAGAGAGCTGATGCTCCGGGGAACTATTTAAGAGGTAGGGTCTGCAGGAAACAGGAAGCTCCATGGTCTCTGGCTGGAGCGGCTAAGCACGGGGGTACCATACTCACTCAGATGGGGCGCAGGCCAAGGGACTGAGTGGGGAAGGAGGAGGGAGCATTCAGTCTTAGTGTTGAGTTGCAGATGTTTTGGGGGCACCCAGTTAAGATGTCCAGAAGGCACTGGGTGTGATCTTGCAGGGGGAGAGATAAGCATGGAAAATAGCAGTTGGAGCTATTTTTTATCTAGGTGGTAGTTAAAACAATAAAACTGGTGCAGGAAACTGCGCCCCAGGGAAAGTAAATGTCCTGTGGTCACCTGAGGGGAGCGAGGGGAGGAGGCCAAGGAGACACTTTAAAGTGTGTGTTCAGCAGTGGCAGCTAAGGCAGGGAGGTCCAGTGAGTGGAGGCCCGAGAGTGTCCCTGGCCTGTGGCAGGCAACACGGAGGTCACTGGTGGCCACCCAGGCCAGTGCCGTGTCTGTGGCATGGCAGGGGAGGAAGTGGGTGGCAGCAATGAGGAGTGCAGATGGTGACGAACCACAAATCCTACTCTCTCTTTTCCAGCGGGATTTTTGGGGAGCGGCTCCCCCTCCGTTATTACCTTTCGGCTGGAATGCTGCTCAGTGGCCTTTTCACCTCGCTCTTTGGCCTGGGATATTTCTGGAACATCCACATGCTCTGGTACTTTGTGCTTATCCAGGTATGCACCTCTGTCTTGCACTCAGACCTCTGCTCCATCAGGGGAAGAATCGCGGAGGCTGCTGGTCCTTCCCAGACACCCCTAGGTCATGGCAGATTTGGGCTGCGAACAATTCCTCCCCAGCCCCGTGCTCCTCCGTTGAGCTTCGGGGTCCTATGATCACACAGACCCCCCAAAAGTCTGCACTGAGCACTACCCTGCAGTCCCTGAGATGCCTGAGGGGCTTGGTCTCTGCAGGGAAGGATCTTGTCCAGATGAGAAACCAACCTGTGGCATTGGTGTGTGTGTGTGTGTGTGTGTGTGTGTGTGTGTGTGTGCAGGTGAGGGAAGGGGGTGCTCGCCGTGTGGGCCACGGAGGTCCCTTGGCCTGGGAGGGGTCAGAGCTGGGAGTTTGACCCCTGGGAGGGGTCAGGCCCAGGCCTGTCCCACTTACTTCTGGTCTCCCTGCAGATCTGTAATGGGCTTGTCCAGACCACAGGCTGGCCCTCGGTGGTGACCTGCGTTGGCAACTGGTTCGGGAAGGGGAAGTGAGTGCGGTGAGGGAGGAGGGGTGGGGGTACCCCGGGAGGGCTGTGGGGAGTGAGGAGGCCACTCACGGCCCCTAGTATAATTTCAGGGTGAAGGGTTAGAAACTCGTGTCTGTCTTGCTGACTTTCACGTTGAGTCACGTTTAGTGACTAAAAAGCAGGACTGATTGGCTCACAGCTAAGGCTTTAATCCATAAAGACAGGCAAGCTTAGTTAGGCTTTTTCCTTATAACAAGTTCTCATCTTGCAGAACGACAAAAATGAAGCCTATTAAAACTTTATTATTATTGTTACTATTCTTTTGTACTTGAACTGGCTTTCGTGCAAAAAAAAAATAAAAAAAATCCAGACTTTGCCAGTGTCCCCTGGAAGCAGAGTGACCCTGGTGGAGGCCCACCAGGCAAAGGATAAGGGGTTGGGGGGGGGTTCATCTGGAAGCCCCCACGTGCACTGCCTCGGGTTGCTAGAAGAAGGGAGCAGGACCCCAGGCCTTGCTGTCACTTGCTTGACACCGGGCCAGCCTTCCCGTCCTCCCTGACTGGTTGTCTTTGGGCCTGGTGGCTGGAGGCAGCCAGCTTTGGACTCTTCTCCCCTTCCCTTCCCTGTCGTCCCTCCTTCCCCTCCAGGCGGGGGCTCATCATGGGCATCTGGAACTCACACACATCTGTGGGCAACATCCTGGGCTCCCTGATCGCTGGCGTCTGGGTGAACGAGCAGTGGGGCCTGTCGTTCGTGGTGCCTGGCATCATCACGGCAGCCATGGGTGTCATCACCTTCCTCTTTCTCATCGAGTGTGAGTGGACTCCTCCGTCCCCACAGGGCTCAGAACTCAGCCTCCCGCTTCTCCTCTCCGGGTCTGAGAGCAGTCAGTGGCTCCAGGGGGAGGGTTACTGGCCATGGAGCCGGAGGACCTGTGCGTAGCCCGGGACAGACAACTGCTCTGGGCCTCCGTTTTCTCCTTTGTGAAATATGAAGAGCATCTACCTCCCAGGGCTGGGGGTCAGTGCGGGTGTCAGTGAGATGTGCAGTTAGGCCGCATGGCCGGTAGCTGTGCTCGGCGGGTGCCAGCTGACTCTGAAGCGTGAGACGGGGAAGGTGGGGCTGACGGGACCCTCTCCATGCGCTGTCCTCTGCCCCATTCCCTGATGGCCTTTGGAGACAGAGCTAGGCCAGGCAACGTGGTCACTTTGTAATAAGAGAATGAAAGTCCACAAGGCAGTAGCCCCCAGTCTGAACCCACCTGTAGCCCAGACACAGGTGGTTGTGAGGGAAGCCAGGCCCAGAAGGCGCCTCCCTAGCCCAGGGTCCAGGCTCTGTCATGCTGGGAAGTAGACTGGCCACGTTAGGGAGTGGGGGCCTGGCCTGCCGGGAAGCTTCTTAGCAGGCTGTTTTTTTCAGACCCTGAAGATGTGGACTGCACGCCTCCTCAGCACCACACCAGTGTGAGCACCCCCAACCCAACCCCCACCCTGCCCGTCCATCCTCAGAGAGGGGACTAGAGAGTTGGAGGAGGGGCCCGTGCACCCACAGGTTACCTCACAGGCTCAATGTCAGGTCCTCGGGTTGGCTCACCGACAGCCTGATTGGGCCTGGCCAGATGGCGGCTCAGTCCGGGGGGGGGGGCGTACCTCTTCCAGCCTGGGAACCCCTACCTCTCACGTGCCTTATACCTCCGGCTGGTGGGGGGTGGAACGTGGGTGTGCCCACAGCAAGGGCTCATCTCTGTTCAGGATGGTCTGGAAGAGAACCAGTACAGCCCTGAGGACCTTGGGAGTAGTCCCTACACTAACAAGGAGAGCAGCCTGGAGACGGCCGCCAGGTGCTCCAAGGAGCCAAGTGCTCAGCCTGCTGCTATCAGCTTCCTTGGGGCACTCCGGATCCCGGTGAGAAGACTTGTGGAATGGAGGGAAGTTGGGGGCTCTCTAGAGTTCTCTGCTGGATGTCAAGAGATGGGGGGATGCTCAGGGTGATCTAGGGCTTCTAGAATTTCTTTACATGAGAGGCTTAGGGTAAGTAGTAGCCAACTTGGAGAGAGTAATATGGGAGGCTTGCCTTGACACGGCACTGGAACACAGGCACATTGCTTTCACTGAGATTGGAGGCGTACTTGAGGTTGCTGCTTGGCTAGGTGGCGGCAGCGCTGGGGGTGCTGAGCCAGCCCCTGTGGCTACCCTGGGCCAGGGAACCTCTCTTCCATCATGGCCTCTGTTATGCTCTCTAGGGTGTGGTCGAATTCTCTTTGTGTCTGCTCTTTGCCAAGCTGGTCAGTTACACCTTCCTCTACTGGCTGCCCCTCTACATCTTCAATGTGGGTAAGTTCAAGGGGAAGAAGAGGTGAGGATGGGGTCTCCGAGAGGCCAAGGCCATCTTTGGTAGGGAGAGGAAACCTGTCACGTGATGTACGTGACTCCAGAGTATGGGCAGGATGTCTGCTGAACCTCTCGTAGGGCAAGAGGAGACTTTTTAAAAAATTTGTTTGAGTAGGAGGTTAGACTTTGTACATGGCCTCAGAGACCCCGATTCTAGCCACCTTTCCTCTCCTGGACCTGAGCCAGAGGTTACGAACTCCAAGTTTTGTTCTGTAACCCTGCCTAACTTCTTCTCCAGCCTTACGTATAGGAGCACGCACCTCAGGCCTGCTTGGCTCCCAGATGAGTGGGATGGATGGTGCTAGGGAAGGTGTGCCTTTGAATGCCTCCTCCAACCCCAGGAAGAGGGCCTAGCGAGCTACCCCACCGCCTGCTCTCCTCTCCCCAGAGGCTGCCGGGAGCCTGCTGGTGTTGATGCCTCATGCCTGGGCCAGCTGCACTGCCCTCCTTCTGGGCCCCCTGTCTCATGCCCCTGACCGCAGAGCTCTGCCAGGGCTGAGCCCCTCTGCCCCGGGGCCGCGCTGCTCCCTCCAAGCCCTATGGGAGGGCCAAGGCTGCTTTACACACACTGATGCCGCAAGGCCAGATTACGCAAGGCCAAATCCCAGCCCATATCTTGCCCAACAGTCCTGCCACAGGGCCCCTCTCAAAGATAGAGGTAGAGCACCAGGGTGGCTCCATGGATACTGTGACTCTTTGTTTTGTGGCCTTGATGCTGACTTCAGAGTATGAGTCAACCTTGAGGGTTAAGCTGCAATTCAAGCTTCTGGACATTCCCTATTCTAATTCTAGGATAAGGGCTGGGACCTGAGGTCTCCATTTGCCTGTGAGTCTCCTTCCTGGCCCTGTTTATTAGCAGAGACCTCAGATGAGTGGGAAGGCTCCTGGCGGAGGCTTGTTGTTCAGGAGCAGACCAGGAATGTGGCTGGTTGAGCTGTGGCTCAGTGAGAGTTGTGTCCCCAGGGTAAAGGTGGCCCAGTGGGACAGGGTTCTTGTGGGCCAGACCCCAGTGCTTTCAGGGGAAGCCTTTTCCGAGGCTTCAAGGCCAACCTGTAGGGGGAGAAGGAACTCCAGGATGGGGTGGAGGGGCAGAAAGGGTGTCCAAAGTACTGCAGATTTACCTGCGACCCTGGCTGATGACTTCCCCAAGGGTCCTCACTCCTTCATCTGAAAAAGGAGGCAGTGGGACCAGATCAGGCGCTCTGTAGGGGTTTTATGGTGTCAGTGCTCTAGGACGTTTGCACCGGGCCCCCAGGTCTGACCACATATTTGTGTTTTGCATAGCTCACTTCAGTGCCAAACAGGCTGGGGACCTGTCTACCCTCTTCGATGTTGGTGGCATCATAGGTGAGACCCTGCCCTGTTCTGTCTCAGGATGCATTCCCCTTTTTTCTTGTGGGGGAGTAGAAGGACGGGACAGGTCCAATGCGATGTGACCAGGGCAGCTCTTGCCCAGCTGGGTGGCCCTAAGAAAGTTGGCTCTTGAGTTTGATCTTCCCATGAGCAATGGGTGCCGGGAGGGCTTCAGAGGGAGAGGCTCTGTTGGTTCTGGATGCCCGTGCCCCGGCTAGCACTGGGTAGAAGATGGGGCCAAGCTTGGTGGTGCCATGTAGTTGGGGAGCCATGGCTATACCTGGGGCAGCAGTGTGTGAGTTGGTTTGTGTTCTAGGCGGCATCATGGCGGGGCTTATCTCTGACTATACCAATGGCAGGGCCACCACCTGCTGCGTCATGCTGATCTTGGCTGCCCCCATGGTGAGTATAACCCCAAGAATGTAGTCCACGTGCTCACATGGATTCATGCGGGCTGTTGAAATGTGCACACCCAGGCATTTATGCACATGCCCATCTCCTTGCGTGTGTGTCCATCCCTGTGCACACACCCTGGGGGAGAAGAAGCCAGGGTGAGCACAGGAAAGAAGATTTGGACTAAGGATTTTGGAAAGGGATTAGCAACGAGTTGGCCTTGGCAGAGAAGGGGGAGGCCAGCTGTTAAAGTTCTTGGCCAAGGAGAGTTTAGGAAATTAAGGTTAGATAAGAGAGAAACCTTTTTGAGAAAAGGGCAACAGTAGATTGCCATGTCTTAGACCTTCCATCCCTGGGACATTTAAAGACCCAGAGGTCTGGGTTTGAGAAGGAAAAGGAGTAAGGTGCCCTCTGAGGTTCCCTGGCAGGAGAGGGTGTGCCAGACTTCTGGGCTCCATCTAACCCTGGCAGCCCACAGGGAAGCCTGGGCATGACTGTCTCTCCCCTCTCCCCTCTCAGATGTTCCTGTATAACTTCATTGGTCAGAATGGGATTATCAACTCCATAGGTGAGGGCGTGGATGCCAGCCCACAGGAGAAGCATTGCCTGGGGGACCCCAGGAAGCCGGCTTGGGGGCATCGGTGGGAGGCACAGGGAAGTGGAGGTTCTCAGCCTGACTTCTAGAGGGGGTGGTCTCACCTGCTTTGGGGCCGGGGCTGGTGGTGGCCTGTCATCCCTAACCAGCAGTCTCTGTTACTGCCTCAGTAATGCTGATCATCTGTGGGGCCCTGGTCAATGGCCCTTATGCGCTCATCACCACTGCAGTCTCTGCTGACCTGGTAAGTGGGCTGCCCCCTGGGGTCGGGTCAGGATTCTGGGGGCCTGGTCAGGGTCTGGGGGCTCCAGGTCTGTTTCCCCACATCCCTGCCCCCTCCCCGGGGCACAGAGATCCTAGCATATGAGATCCTCAAAGTCCTTCAGAATCCACCATTTGCCCCAGCCTTTCCTCTCAACTCCAAGCCCCAATTGCTGCCTTTCTCCAAGTGAGCCCACTCCCAGCCCTGGTCCTGCCTAATGCTGCCCCTCCATTTGAGCCTCCCCACTCCATTCTCTCTCCCCAGGGAACTCACCAGAGCCTGAAAGGCAATGCGAAGGCACTCTCTACTGTCACGGCCATCATCGACGGCACTGGGTCCATAGGTCTGTGACTCTAGCTTTTGGCTCCTGGCAGCCGAGCCCTGAGCCTTGTCGTCAGCACACTTCTTGGAACGCTGCCCTCGGGTGGGCAGGGAGGCTCAGGGCCCCTCGTTGGGTGCCCTTCTCTGACACTGCATTCTGCACAGGTGCAGCTCTGGGGCCCCTCCTGGCTGGCCTTATTTCCCCCACAGGCTGGAACAACGTCTTCTACATGCTCATCTCTGCCGACATCCTGGCCTGCTTGGTATGAGTTCTTGGGGTACACAGATGGGTATGGGGTGAATGTCCTGTCCTGCTAGGCTAGAACCTGGGAGGTCCAAAGCATTGGCCACGAGGGGCTCTGGAACATGAGAACAGCTGCCTTTCACGCAGAGCCACTTGCCTCCCATGGGTGAGCCCCTGCCAGATGAAACTGCGTGCCCATGACCTTCCTTCCTGCCAGCCCCCCATCACCTAGCACTGGGGACTAACCACATGTTCATTGCTAATATTTCCCTCCCTTCCCTGGGGGCCTTGAACTACCCACAGCTCCTCTGCCGGTTGGTGTACAAAGAGGTTCTCGCCTGGAAGTCATCCCTGGGCAGAGACAGAGGGTGAGTCCTCCAGACAGCAACCTCCCCTGCAACCTCACCTCTTCTGGGCATTAAAACCAGTGCTCAGTTGCTCAGCACCCAGCCTGAGCCCACCTGTAGCCCAGAGTGGAGCCAGACCCTCCCTGGATGTGCTCTGTGGTGCCCTCCCCCAACCCCCAACCCCGCTAATGTGTCCTCTGTTGTCCCCATATGTCTCCATAGCTCTAGTCTGGCCCTAACCCACCCGCGATAGTATTTTCCTCAAGTCCCATGACTTTTGTGAGTATTTTCTTCAAGTAGGTGACTAATGTGCCATTAGAGTGGGGCCTGCATGCCAATCCTTTCTCCTCCACTGTGATTTTTCCGACTTTCTCCTTTTTCCATGGGGGCCAGCTCCAAAGACTGTCTGCCCGAGCAGAGCATGATGCTTGGGGCCTGTTTCCTAAGGGGCCTGAGCTGCCACAGAGGTTGGCAGACTCCTCTCCTTAGGGCTTTGAATGTACCCCGAGGACAGAGGCGGGATCCAGGGAAACAGTTTTCCCTCTGAACACGGCCTCTGAGCCATCCGTACCTTCTGAAGTCCAGAAACCGAGAGCATTTGGCCCCTCTGCCTGGGGTGTACAGAAAAAAGCAACTACCAATCAAAGCCTCTGGAAGAAAATTCCAATCAAGCCTCGGTGGCTGGCCTGGGGTGTTCTCTGTGTACTGCCCAGTGGTGGCGGGTGTGGAGGCCGCACAGACAGGCTAGTGGCCAAGGCAGAGCCCACAAGAGGCCGGGCTATGGCTGATGCTGTGGGTAATGCTCTCTCTGGCCTTTCTGGCTCTCCTTCTGGGCAGGAGGCTCTGGCTAGTGAGGCACTGGCCGGAGCCACGGACCTGGTCCTGGATGTTAAATGTGTGGCAGAAGCCCCTGGGGTCATGGCAACCAGCACCGTATCTGGGGAAGCACTTTCCCTTAAGGATGGCGTCTTCCACGTTCAGGGGGAGAGGAGCTGAGAGCAGGAGGCAGGAGCAGAGTACTTGTCTGCCGGCCCTGGAGGGGAGGGGAGGGCAGGGGGACCAGTGCTCCTCCCGTCTGCTTCCTTGGGCCAGGCCTGTGGGGAGGCTCGGAGGGGAAGAAGGAAGCAGGAAAGGGGGCTGAATATTTGCTAAGCATCTGCTCCGTGCCTGGAACTGAGTCTGACTTCAGACAGGCCCGCTTACCTCTCCGCACCCGTGAGAGGTTGGTTCTCTCGGCTCTGGATGAGAGGCTCAGAACTCATGGAATGTGCCTAAGGCCTTCAGCTTGTCCTAGCAGCGTCTGCTTTTCTCTATGCTGCTGCCACCCTAGGCTGGGCCTTCTCTAGAAGGCCATTGTGTGGGGAGCAGAGGGGCTTGTTAGGGTAGAGGGAGCATTGGGCCCAGAACCAGAAATCCCTGGGCAATCCTGACTTCCCTGCTCACTTTTGTTGATAAGACCTTAGGGCTCCACATCCTTCTGTGTATAACATGGAGGCACTTATCCCTAAATACCCAGCAAGATTGATCGGAGGCTGAGATGAGACGGGATATGTGATACTCAGATACATCTGTCAGATGTGGTACAGACGCTGTAAGGTTTTCACTATTATCCTGGCTTGCTAGTTTCAGCTGAGGTGAGAGGGTGCCCTAATGGGAGAGAATAGGGACCAGAGGTAATTATTAAGGGACCCTATTAAACCTGCCTTCCGTGCTCCTACCATTGGCTTATTAATCTGTGCCTCACTTTCTCTTCCATTGCCTCTCTCTCCTCCTGCAGGTATAAAGAAATATGAGGGCCTTGATTGGAAGAGAGGCATGGAGGGCCCCAAATGATTCCCAAAGAGTTCTCCCCCTACCCCCACGGGGGCAAGACTATGGAAACTGCCGCAGATGTGGCTGATGCAAGCCTCCTGACCTAACACTAGCCAGCCCACGGGCTGGCTAAGGGACTAGGAGATTTGCCACGGGAAGGGACTGGAAGGCTCAAGGGCCTGCGCTCTGGAAGCCGCAGGCAGGAGGGCCCGGGGATCAGAGCTGAGTGGTGTCTCCTCTCCAGCTTGGTAAGGGGAGGCTGTACTCAGACTGTAGCTTGTTCAGATTCCAAGAAGGAAGGCAGAGGCCTGACGTGGACCAAGGCCTGGCAAAGGTGTGTCTCTCCTTCCCGTGTTCAGTGTGAACCTCCATGACCAAGCCTGTACCTGCCGGTGGGTTTCTGACACTATTTCAGAGCTGCCCAGCCTCACTTCACTTCTTTGTCCACGAGCTGGTTTTCTCGTGTATTCCCCCACGTGTATTTGATCCTGTCTCTAACTCCTGACCTAAGTCGATTAAAGTGTTACTGCTATATCCTCCAGGGCCAGGACTAGGGAGACGCGAGGGGGTGCTGATGGTGCAAAAGTTAGAGAGGAATCCCCCTTGGGCCTGGGCCTGGGCCTGCGCCGCCCCAGAGAGTGAGGGCCTCCCTTGCCTCAGTCTCCTGCCAGCCCTCTGTGTCCTCAGGGGAAGAGCCAATATCAGTGCAGTGCTGGGGAGGGAGGGAGGAAGGCCTGACTGAAAACACCAGCGTGTGCATAGGGTACCAGGACATCGCAGTCACTGCTTGCTAGCCCTCCTCCCGGAAGGGAGCAGATGGTGGACACAGAGCAAGGACTTTTGCCCTGATACAGGCACCGGCATGACAAGACTAGCAGGAAAGAAGGCTGCCTGGTTCGTTCCAGCATCTGTCACACATGCAGATGCCTGGAGCTCTCTGCCGCCTGCCTCTTCTCCTCCATGTCCCCCTGTACTTATCCCGGCCTCCGCAAATCCTGGAGCGCTGCATGCCAGCCCTGCTCTTGGCATTCTCCCTGATCTCCGGAGCCACCCATCAGCACAGTACGGATTCCTGTTGCGAGCTGTGCTCATACTCACCCTTGTTGGGGCCTGGCCCAGCCGTGTGGGTTGTTGGGGTCCCAGGACCACGGGGTTCGTGTGCTGGGGCTGCTTACAACGGGCAGTCCCTAGGGTGCTCATGACAACGCTGATGACCTGCAGGACAATCCGGGAGCAAGAGCCCATACCGGGCACAGCCGTCCCATTCACTGGGACACCTGGGCCAGTGCAGCACTGACACAGGTTGTACACTCTGCTGCGGTGACACAGTGGTAAGCCTCCGACTGCGGCCGCTCACCCTGACTTGGAAAGCAAGAGCCAGTGAGGCACCTGGAGGTCCCCAAGGCCAGGCCTTACTACTCCCAGCATTCACGGATGCTTCTCTCAGAGCAGACACTAGATGGTGCCACCATCCCCTTGCAGAGCGCCGTGGGCCGCACACCTTTCTGCTTCCCGGTGGGGAGGCAGGAGCAGAGGGCGCTTTATTGACCAACTTTCGGCCTTCTTTCCACTGCATCAGGTGGGGAGGCCGGGGAGACTTCCTCCGGGGGTGGGGGACTTCCGCTTCCCTGGCCCCACCCACCACTGACTACCTTTAAGCCTGTGTCCTCATCCAGAGAAAATAGTCCTACCCCTGCCTACCTGGAAGGACTGGTGTGAAGGGAGACTCGTTGGTAGACACACTTCCCGCCCCCTACGAGCTCGTCTGGGGAAGGGGGAAGTGAGAAACAGGAAAACAATACGGGAAAGTCACTGGGAGGTAATGACTACGGCTGAGAGGCTTCTCCATCCCTCGGACGCCCGAAGGGAGAGGAGCCGCCAGGTGGGTGATCCCTGGGCAGAAGAAGAATGTGGAAGGCGTCAGAAGGAGGAATGCATGGGACTTGGGCAGGCGGTTAGTTTGATAAGGTCCAGAGGGGGAGAGAGTTAATACCAATACAGAGCAAGCCCCCAAAGAGCAGCATGGGGACCGGAAAGGAACGAGAGGTGCCTGCTGGTGCCTGGGCCTGGGGTAGCGTGGCTCCGGTAATCGGAAGGCTTGTGGAGCGCAGCGCCTGGCTCAGAAACGCAGACTTGGGCTGCGGTGGGAGTTTGGGGGAAATACCAAAGGTGGAAGAACCCCAGCCCTGAGCTCTGACCCTCTGCCCTGTCTCCCAGGTCCGAGGCTCCCTGCCCCGCTTCAGCTCTGGGTGCAGACTGTTCCCCCCACTCCCCACAAGCCTGCTACCTGCCTTCTCCCTGGGCCTCAGCACTCACTTGGGGCTAATGCAGGAGCATTACGTTAATTAGTTATTCATTTAATTTAACTTCACATTTGGTCTCAATTAAGCTTAAAGTGTTCTTCCTTATAGATGTTACAATAGCACTTGTAATTAAAAAGCAATAACTCTTTTTGCATTTCTCCTTTAGAGAGCCATTGGGAGGCTGGGGTGGTGTGTGGTTGCGGTGGGGGGGGGCGGTGCGGGAAAGAAGTAATGAAAAGAAAGGGAACCCTTGGCACTCTGAGGCTTTCAGCAAGACTAAGTTGGGGGAAAGAGACTCAACACTTCATGGGTGTGGGGTGGGGACCCTGGGGACCTGAAAGTGCTCCTGGAGATAAGGGGGCAGTGAGGTGGGGAGAGGACGGAGGGTGGAGGGTGGAAGGAGCGATCCTTAGCCGTGGAGGCTGGGGCCCGATATTCCGTGGTTGGCAGAACAATGCCCCCTCTCCCAAAGATGTTCACAGCCTAATTCCCAGGCCCCCTTAATATGTTAAGCGCAGATGTGATTAAGGACCATGAGTGGGAAGACTATGCCGGATTGTCAGGGTACGCTGTGCTCCTTATCAATCAAAGAGGCAGGCCAGAGTGTCCAGTTGTCAAATTAGAAGATGCTGGCTCTGAAGACAGAGGGTATATATAACTGGGCAGAAGTGTGGGCAGCCTCTGGACACTAGAAATGGAAAGGAATTGGGATTCTTCCTGAGAGCCTCAAAAACCTTTATATTAGCCCCCGTGAGATCTATTTCGGATTTCTGATCTCCCAAAAGTGTTCAATAACAAATCTGTACTCTTCTAAACCGCCAGATTGGTGGTAATTTGTTACTATAGCAGTAGGAAGTTATTACCTGGTCCCAGGGTAAAACTGGGACAACCTCAATTTGAAGACAGAAAAACTAAAGAAATCCCCAAAGATTAAAGGGAAAAAAAGTGGAGGGGATGGCTTAGGTAGCGTTCAGGTACAGCGTAAACACTACCTGTGTAACTACCCCGAGTTCTTTTGAAGATGGGGCCTGTGCTAAATGCATTCTTTAGGATTCCCAACATGATGTGATGAATACCAGAAAAAGAAACCTTGTTCTGTCTGTGATGTTGGGCCCAGATTTTGATCCCTACTGTCATTTCTTATGTCCCAGGAAACTGAGACAAGAGGGTGTGTGTTGGGGTGGGGCTGGGGGCTGGGGTCCTGGGAACTTTTTTTTTCCCTTGAGTGAACAGAAACTGCCAATAATGATGTTAGAAACAGAGATCAAGAAACAAGTACATTCTTGGTCTGTTGCTTTGATTCTTCCACTGTCGCTTCTGAAAACCAACCCAAGTATCAAACATTCCAGTGGACAGTGCTTAAGAGAGAGACTGCTGTGCTGGTCCTTGAAAACTCCATCCATGGGCTGCTCCACGGAATCTCTCTCAGCCACTGAGAAGCCAAAGTCCAACAGGGCAGAAACCCACCAAAACCACAGGGTGGATAAATGCAGTCGTCGGCGAGGTCCCAGGGCCCTTTGTCTCAGACTGCTGCCCAGTCTGAAGATTCTGGGTTTTCCATGAGAATCGGCTGCTACTCTTTGGTATTTCTTTCCACTGGATTTGCATTGCTTGACCTTGCTCCCTCGTTTTTCTTTATTTTATGGAGCAAGATAGTGTAATATAAAGTATGTAAAAGCTTAGACTGGAGCCAAACCACCTGATTTCAAATCCTGACTCCTATTTAACCTTGACCTAAGTGACCTCAAGCAAATCACCTCACCACTCTACCCGTTTCCCCATCCGTGAAATGGGGACATTTAAGAGTCCTATGAGGTAGGGTTGCTTATGAGGATGACTTAGTATTTACAAAGCATTTAGAAAAATGCTTGGAACATGTTTGTAAATATAATGAAAATTGTGATTTTAGCCTGTGAGGAATAGAATATTTCCAAGTATTGGGATGGAAATAGAGAATAAAGACTGAACCCTATAAACTAGGAAATCCCATCCAACCTTGACTTTTTGTGCTCCTGTGAGGACAATCGACACTTCACTTGCATACTATTTCCAATTCCCACATCTGGAAACTTGCTGCTCTGTAACAACAGCCAAATACTTAAAGGTTTAAGCCAAGACATTATGACAAAATATTTATTATTTGTACCTTAGATGCTAATTAGAGACTCTTTAATGAAGGTTTTGCCTTTTTTAGACATGGGTTAGGGAAAAGATGAGTACCAAGAACTTAAAAAAAAAAAAAATTATTAACCAATGTAGAAACAAGGAGTTGTTTGAGAGCCGAAAATGATCTTTAAGTTATCTGAGGACTGAGAGATGTCAGGAATCCCCATGTCAAGTTTGAGCCCCACTACTAACTATGGAAACCTTTAAAATCTTATCTCTCTGCCTGTTATTTTTCTTAAAATAATTGCAGCAGGTCTCTTTACACATTGAATAAAAATCAAAATAAAAATTCAACTGAAGCAGTAATGAGATAGAGCTGATGCAACAGTTTATGTCTTAGAGAAGTTCTAGAACAAGACATGGATTGCTTTATGTTAGAATAAAAACATTTAAAAATAATTTGGATCCTTTTATCCTGGGATGGTTAGGAAGGCAGCCTAGACTGCTCAGAGCCTACTTCTTGGGCTGGTTTATCCCAAGACTGATGCTTTATACCCAACAAGCTCACAGTAAATGCTGAATGAATGGTGGCACATGTTGGATGACGCATGAATGAATGGCTGTGCATTCCCTCGTCCCTGAACATTGGTACAATAATTCTGATGAGGTTTTAGATCAAATTGCTGTTACCATGTATCAGCAAAGAATGTTAGTATTACTTATAAATAAGAAGTTTAAGAAACTTGTCAAAAAATGACCTAGGAGGCAGGTTTTGTGGGCTTGACAGACTTCTAAAATATACCACACAGCACCACCTAGCGGACTAGACCAGCGTCTCCATGGCGGGGTAGTGTGGTGCCCTGGTAATTTAGCTTTTGTCAGGATACAATTTTAAGAGGCCATGAAATCATCTGCTTTTCATGTAGAGCTCTTGATTTGCTCTCCCTCTCCAAATTGTAAACAGTGGGGATTACCACATGTCTCTCTGCTGCAGGGTCCCCTCTGCTACAGGGTAAGGAACAGTCCCTCTGCCACAGGGTAAGGAACAGTATAGCACAACCTGCTCTAAGGCCTTCAATCAAAGAATGGTGAATGGGACACTAAGATGACCTCGAAGCCCCGTCTCTAGAAAGGCAGTGAGCACAAGAGGAGCCATATTAGACATTGTATGGGTGGCCCATGTAGAACCTCAGTGAAATTCATGTTTCAGCCTTCTACTACTCATCCCACACACAGGGCATTGACCATGACTGCTTTGAGTATGAAGGTAGAGAGTAGTACTCTATCATTCTATCATTCATTTCCCCATACTTGGTAGTTATGGACTTGGGATCTATAGGAGGCAGGCCAACCTAAAATACTTTGTACAAAGTATATATATATATATATTTTCCCTGTCATTTATATCTGTGTAAAACACACACACACACACACGCATTAGATAGCAGTGGTATTTGGGAAGGAATTTAGTTTCCAGCCTTCACACATTTTTCCTCATGTAAGCAGTCACCCAAAATTTCATAGCTATTATCCACTGATCTTAAAGTTGGACACCTTTGTTGGGGAATAACAGGATGGATTCAGGGTCAAAATCTACAAGTTTTCCCCGATTTGATTTGTCAGCAAGTCTCCCAGGAGGTGACAAATGGCAACCTGTGCTTGTTAGGAGTCCGTGCTCCACGTGGACTGTCTCTCTGCACAGAGACTCACAGGTATCTGGGAGCCTCAGTGAAAGTGTCCTGAGGGAGGACAGAGCCTGACTGCCAGCTTGCCCAACTCCCCTCCACGTGTCTGCATTCTCCTCTCTCCCCGCCAATCTGCTTGGTGGGATGTTTCTTCTTTCTTTTCTTACCTGTGGGCCCTGGGCCAGATGAAGAAACAATTTCCTTTGAATGGTTCTATGGCAAAGCCTTATCTGCAAAGGTTTTCCAAACTGAGTAAGATACAGTTCAAATGCAGAAATAAATAAACCTGGGCTTCAAGGGCCCATGACTCCCAAAAGTCATCCATTCTCTCCTCTTTTAATTTAGAGCTTAGCCCCCACTAGGGTGGTGGGATGGGATCCTCTCCACACTGACGGGAGGATCCAGGAGAGTAAGTGAAGACATGGCCCTGACTTCCTCAAGCTCTCAAAGTCCCACAAAGCTCAGTGGGTTTTCTTTTCAGTCCGAGACAGCCCTGGAGTCTGCCCCACCTGGGCGTGCACACTGGATGCTGTGTGATGCCTGGGCAAGTCCGTTCATCTCCTTAAGCCTTAAGTTTTTCTTTAAAATGGGACGATAATCAATATTTATAAAATTTAAATAAATTGGATTTCAGGGGAACTAGCATCCTATTGGCATAAAGCACGTGCTCAAAGTTCTCCTTCTAACTCGTTTTCTCGTTCTTAATTTTAAGTCAGAAGATCCTTCTTCATTTAGTTCCAGGGAGTCAGGAGAGACTTCCAGAGTAGAAACAGCCCAGAGCTCCTCCATTTAATGACAAGTGTTGGGTGATCTGGGATTTCGGATAGGCATAAAGTTATATCTAATCCTAGGAACATAATTTCTTACCAGCTTTGGAGAAAGGGCTACAAAGATGACAAGAAATGATGATAATCCAAAATGGACCCTATAAGAATTAAATAAGGCACACAGGGCTACCAAATCCTGAAAGAATTCAGAGATCTGCAGAAGCAAGACAAACAACCATTTCCAGACCCTTCTTCTATTCCCTAAGCAAACCTGAAATATAGAATACAGACTGAGAAAGCTGTGGCCAAGAGTCTGAAGTGAAAGTCAGTCCTTCGGTTGTTTATTGCTTTATTATAGCAGAGAGAAGGGACAGCCATTGCTTGTACAGATTCTGTGACACCATGTGCACACTGGTCAACGACCAACATCTCGGTAAGTCTTCCAACTCATCGTACTAAAATAAGCTTTTGAACTTGGAGTGCTTTTCCTTTCCAAATCATCCCAACCTTGTAACTAAGAATCCTGTGTATTATCAAAAGGACGAGATTCTTCTGCCTACTGGACAGTGAAAGCCAAAGTGCACCTTTTCCCGAAATCCACTTACTGATGTCTTGATTGAAAATCTACCAGAAGCAGAACACTATTTTTATTTCCCCGTCAAAACAGATAGAAGACCTGAGGAACAAGGGCCAAGAAGATAGCAGTATTCCTCGGAAGATGGTGAGAAGCATCTCTGCAGGGCCAATTTTGCAACCCCATTTCTGGAAGCCAGGATTCAAGGCATTTGTCCCAGTCGCGAATGGATATTTCTCTGATCTTAAGGCATGACGGCTGTCAGAACAAGGCTCTGAACAGTACCTTTCTGCTCATTAATGACAGCAAAAGCAAAGGACAGAACAGGGTCTTGGCTTTCCTGAATAGTGCTCAGTAGGACCGCAGTGGTTTGGCATAGATTGGCTCCAGGATATGATGAATGAGAACCAAAAAGAGGCCTCCAAGGAAGACAGCAGTGAGGAGAGACAGCAGGACATAGCGGCCGATGAAAAAGGAATCCACAATCTGCAGAAAGAAACATCAAAAAGGAAATTACGATCACTTCAGCACCCTGGCTGTGCTCATCTGAAATCTTTGATGAGTGGGCTCAGAGGCTGTTTGTATTTGTGACTTCCAGAAACATCCTGATCTGAGTCTCTTCTGTAAATGGTTGGGAAATAACTCCCTGAGCTGGAAATACAATATAAAGAAGAGATTAACGAAGTACATGGGGGGAAAAAAAAGGCTCGGTTTAGGTGGTTTCATAAACACTCTGAAGACCTTGGATGAGCTCTTTTATGTTCTGAAATCAGTTACCTGAAGGAGTTCATGAGAAGCTTGCTTGCTTGGTCTTAGAAAGTCTCATTTTTGTTGTTGTTAATTTTTTATTATGGAGAATTTGAAACATATATAAAAATACAATTGTATAATAAACCCCTATGTATCCAAGGTCGAAGCCCCCAACTCATCAACCCACTGCTGTTTCAGGAGGGCTCATTGTCAAAATGGAAAGGTGATTCTTGAAAACTTTCATCAGAAGTTTCCTGAACATCAACATTCATAACCCAGCACTCCAAGGGTTAGGTTAAATGGCCATTTGCCTGAGAACTAAAATCCTTAAAGGATAGATAATGTGTCCCAATCATACAGTTGGCTGTCACTCAACCAGTCATACTTGAGGCCCCAAAGCTATTGGTCTTTGCTGACAAAACCTATACTTAAGAGTTGGGTCTGCCCATTTGTCTACTGTCCACTCCCAGGGCTCTACTCTCCCCAGATCGAAATGGTGGGGCAGGAAAAAAAAAAAAAAAAGATTAGGATGTAGACATTTTTTGGGTCCTTATCCTGTCTGCCTCCATTGCCTTTTGGATGGCAATGTATTTGGATGCTATTTTGGATGCTATTCCCTTTGGGAAGCTGTGAAATCACCCTGTCACTTGGTTCATGTTCCTGCTCCATTAGATCAATAAATTCATCCTAATCTCCAGAAATGGTAAATATGTTAGATTACATGGCAAAGGAAATAAGGTCGCCAATTGCCTGACCTTAAAGTAGGGAGATAAGCCTGGATTATCCAATCCAGGTGGACCCAGTATAATCACATGGGTCCTTAAACATGGAAGAGGGAGGCGGAAGAGAAGGTCAAAGAAAGATATGTAAGAATGGAAGTAGAGTAGGTGGGATGTTACCTTGCTGGTTCTAAAAATGGAGCCGGGGGCTGCTGGCCAAGGGCAGCCACTAGAAGCTAGGAAGGGCAAAGAAACATTCTTCCCCAGAACCTCCAGGAAGGCATACAGCCCTGCCAACCCCTTGATTTTGGCCCAGGGAGGCTGCGTTTGGACCTCTAACTTACAGAGCTATAAGATAAAACATCTGTGTTGGAAGCCCAAGTTGGTAGTGATTTGTTACAGCAGCAATAGGAAACTAATACAGTGGCAATACACAAAGTACCTGTCAAGTCGTAGCAGTGCTCTGATTGCTGAGATCCAAAGATACCAAGAAGAAAAGGGCTGCTCCAGAGATTACCCCAACAGCCAACTTACAACAAAGGTCAGTTTGATAAAACAGCTTTAACATAACTTTGACCTTGGCTCCAGTACCGAACAAGTCTCTTGCGGGCTACATGTTTGCTCGTTTGACACGTTTCACTTTTTAATTAGCCAATTAGCAGGCCTTGGGTGCAGAAGGCCCAGGTCATGTATTATTGATACAGTATTGAGCCAGGCTGCTGCAGGGGCCAGTTCTCAAAACCTGAAAATGAGAACACCAATTCTGCTGGCCATGCTGATGGACATATTTTGCTCAAACCTCATTCTTCTCTCCTGGGTCTGAAACTCCTATGACAGAGGATAGAGGAATTAAATTCAAAACAGTGTTTGTTCTGTGCCCTTCTTCGAATATTCACATCTGCAGCGATCCAGAAATATGGCAGCCTTCATCACTCTCTCCCTTTCAGACAGGGAAACGAAGGTGGGAGTCTATTCCTGGCTCCCACATGTGTGCTGATAAATGCATAATGTATATGGAAATAATTCCTTAAATTTGGGTGGCATTATGTCCCTTGGACTTTTCAGAGCAAATTTCCTCCCTTTTGCCATGATTAGTCCTACACAGAGTTAGAAATGTGTGCCAATTTTAGTTCAGAAGTTGTTTAATTTTGTGTATTGTCATCTAGTATCAAATACTCACCCATGAACTCTCTGGGATGGCCCCCAATATTCTGTTGAGTTCCCAACAATGAAGGTTTTGCAGACAGACCTCAGCTTGAATCCTTGCTCTGCCTCTTCCCATATATGTATGACCTTGGGCAAGTTACTTTAACCTCTTATAGCCTCAGTGTCCTTACCTATAAAATGGGGATAATAATAGCACCTACTTCATGCTATTTAGGGTTGTCTTAAGGTTTAAGTGAGCTCATGCAAACAACATGTTTAGCAAACAACCTCACACATAGTAATCCCTTAAACAATATCAGCTATTATCATAATTACCACTTTAAAAAGGAAAATGGGAGGTTGGGAGGAGCCGTTAGAAGGTAAATGGGGGATAAGAAGTCAATGCCATTACCAAGATCTTAGGGTAAAGTCAGAGCCCAAGTCCGGAATTGCTAGAATAGGTGGGGTCTCCAGAGAAGGGCTGTGAGAGAGGGTAACAACCCCCTGCCCCAGAGAGGTGAGTGCTGGCAGATGGTGTTCCGGGAATGAGGGCCAGCCGATCTCGTAGACGACTGTCAGTACTGAATTCAACTGCCTCTACAATTACTGCTTCCCACAGAAATTCTCTTTCCCCACTGATCTCTACGGAAGGTCCTCTCCTCACACCACAAGTGGAGAAAATCAAACACATGGAGGGCAACCCCAAGAGCACTGCATACACTTTGGCCAGGATCCGAGTTTCTGAGCCCAGACTACCAGAATGGGGATGCTTTCCTTTCAGGGCCAGGCCCTATTCCTATTCCTAACTCACTGTCCCCTCTCCAGCCCCACAGAATCAGGTGGCTTTCGGACACACTGCTTGTTCAACTCGATGCACAGTGGAGATGCACTCGATTCTGCCTAATAACTGCCCAGTGGTGTTGCACGTGGGAATCAGAGTGAGATTCTCGGCCTGGGTGGAAGGACAGGGGAATTTAAAACTCACTCTCAGCTTTCCCCACCTTTGTTTTAACTTTACACTTCTAACACATTTCAGCCGACCTGACGTCGAGGAACACCTCAGGGCAGGATGGAGGTCTAGACTGAGAAAAGCAAGAGTTATAACTCAGGAAGGTGAAATAAAACCAATAGTTTTACCTTCATTTTGACCTCTGGGGCTGGGACTTCAGTGGCTCGAGGGAAGAGCAGCAGAACCGATGTGATGATCAGAGCTCCAAGGAATACAAAAATGACAGAGAACCTGGGGTCAAAAGACAGAATGTCATGGGCATGCTTTACAGATCCCTCTCTAATCAGTGAGGTCTGGACTGGCTCTTCCTTGGAGCCAATATTCTAAGTTTCAGTCTATTAACGAGGCCCAGAGACCTGCTGTCCACACTGTCCAGGGAATTTAGAAATGGTCTCCCCTTCATCACAAAGCCCTTCTTTCTAGACAGGTCCCCGGCTGGATGAATTCCTGTTTATTCCTGGTAATTCCCAATTCCTAAGAATGGGAATTGGGAGTTTTCATTTTTTGCCTCTGCAAAAACATGTCATAATCATAAAAAAAATCAAAGCAGCCCTTCCCTCTTCTCAACCTGTTTGTTTTCAGACTAGAATACTTTGGTAAATCACGTAGCTCGCTGCTTCACACCGAAAAACTGGCCAGAGCACAGCTCTACAGCATTGATAGAGTCAGTGTTCTGGGGCCAGTGACCGAGAGAAAGCCAGCCCAAGCCCGTGGCGCTCCTGCAGTGTCCCCAGGCCCAGGTTAGAGCCTCAAGGACTAGATTTGCATGTGCCCTAAGTCTGAACCATTAAGAAACACACACACACACACACACACACACACACACACGAAATACAACAGGCAGCAAAAGCAGATTTCCTTTTCATCTCTCGTGTCCCCCCCACCCTGTCTTCTCTACAGTGAAAACTAGAAAATACCACTTCCCCTCTCTCACCTCTGCTTCAGATCATAAATAATACAAGTCAGTGCTTATGATAACAGGTTAAAATACAATTCATTCAAACTGCCAGTAATTGCAAAAATCATCTTCTGGATTCTAAATGTTTAATGAGCATCAGCCATTTTGCTTCTAATTGCTTTTACCGTGGACTCCCAGCTGGAGAGAAAGCCTTACCTTGCTACACCAGAGGCTCTGGACAGCAGCACACACAGCAGCAGCACTAACACCCAGAGCAGGGCTATGATGAACACACCGGCCCCCACTCCGAGCACCGTGCCAGCCATCTGTGGGAGAAAGGAAGCATGAGCACCATAGCCCAGCTCAGCCCTGGGGCCTTCCTGGCACAATGAAGTGTCTGCCCTCTGTGTGCAGGTACCGCCTGTCTTCCACACACTCCCTGCTTTTATAATGGTGTTCAGACAAATACAAATACAAACACAAACACAAATACAAATACAGGAAGTCCAAACTCATTATGATGAATTTGTGATGATTGGTGTGGTAGGATTCATCAGTACAGGCCTTTGGGAATGTGCGATCCCTTAATAGGAATTAGAAATTTAAGGGGCGCCTGGGTGGCTTAGTCGGTGAAGCGTCCGACTTTCGCTTAGGTCATGATCTCGCGGTTCGTGGGTTCGAGCCCTGCGTCGGGCTCTGTACTGACTGCCAGCTCAGAGCCTGGAGCCTGTTTCAGTCTGTGACTCCCTCTCTCTCTGACCCTCCCCTGCTCATGCTCTCTCTCTCCTAGAAATAAATAAAACATAAAAAAAATTAAAAAAAAAAAAAAAGGAATTAGAAATTTAAAATCCCCAAACCTTTCTTTTCAGCGAGGACAGAGAGGTTGCTTTCTGCTCCATGTAGGTCATTTCCAACTTGGTATCTGAATTCTAGTTTGGCTTCCCTAACCCACAGCATCAAGCTGAACTCACTCTTGATATAAAATGCTAATGGAGGGCTGTGAAGACACCAGGATCCAAGTCAAGCACTACGGAGCCAGTGTGGAAGTTGAAGCTCTCAGGCCAAGTCTGTGGTGTGAGCTTTGGCTCCCCAGACAGTCACAAGACAGAAATGTCCCATTCTACTGTTGAGTTTTTATTCATAAAAGGAAGCAAATTCCTAAGTCCTCAAAGACAGCGACAATGAAGAAGAAAGGAGCTGTCACTATTTTTGAGCGTTCACGGTATGCTAAGTACCTTACAAACATATTTCATTTAATCATGAGCATAGGCTTCTGAGGTAGATATTATTATAGCCATGTTACAGAAGAGGTAACTGAGGCATAAGGTGAAGGGATATGTATTAACAAACTGGTGGCTTACAACAGAACATTGTTCTCTCACAGTTCTGGAGGCCAGAAGTCTGAAATCAAGGTGTCAACCAGGCCCGGCTTCCTCCAAAGTCTCTAGGGAAGAATGCCTCCTGGCTCTTGTAGCTTCTGGAGGTCCAGGCATCGCCTGGCTTGTGGCTGCATGGCTCCAATCTCTGCTTCTGTCTTCCCATGGCCTTCTCCTGGGTGTCTCCATCTTCTCCTCTGCAGTCCCTTATGAGGACACTTGTGGTGGATTTAGGGTTTACCCAAAGAATCTGGTTTGATCTCATCTCAAGATCCTCAATTATTATGTCTGTGAAGACCCTTCTTCCACATCAGGTCACCTTCACAGTTTCCAGGGATTAGGAAGTGGGTACAATCTTTTCAGGGGCCACCATTTCACCCATTCCACTGATTCTATAGTGCCCCCCCCACCGACTTTTCCCTTCAGGATCAGAGACAAATCTTAAGCAAATAAATTCCTCCTCAGTTGATGGTTTTTCTTTACCCTGATGGTTTAAAGACCACAAAAATTATGATCTATGAGGAGTTCTGTTATAAAGGCATTGGAAAGATTGGAAAGGAAGCCCTAAGGATGAACTGCCAAAAAACCAAACAAATGTTTATTCAGTCGACATCTATTATGCGTCTACCATGTAAAAGCATTGTGCCACAGTCTGGGGATTACAAGAGTACATAAGACATATCTGTGACAGAAGCTGTAGGCTCCCTGGAGAACACTGCCATGGGAACCACTCTCCATACCACATTGTGAAAAGGAGACAGAGTACAGTGGGAACTGAGACAGTGAGGAGGGCTTTGCCAAAGAAGTGACTTCACACAGATCCATTTGAGGAAGAATCAGTGTGGCAAGAGGACAGGTAGGGATGGGGTGGGCAGAGAGGAGTGCCAGCATAAGAGGCGGGGCTCCCACTTGCCTCTCTAACCTAACTGGGGCAATCCCACCCTCATTAGAGCACATGGTATCATGTCAGTAATTCGAAACTTCCAGGTGTTCCCCACCTCTGGCTCCTTGTACTTGCTGTTTCCACGGCCTAGAATTAGTCCCCGGCCCCCAATGAGCCCTCCAGTATTTGCACGGCTGGCCTCTCCTAATCCTCCTGATTTCCTCAGAGAGGTCTCCCCCGTCAGTTCTCGCTAAAGTAACCCCCCAAACAACTGCTCTCCATCACTCCTTATCTCCTTCAGGGAGCGTTTCACTGACTGTAGTTCCCATTTTTATTTATTGTTTACAGGCTGACTTTCTGTGTCTCCAGCCAGCATGGCGAATGCCATGAGGGCAGAGACTTTATGTCTTGCTCACCACAGTATCCCCAGCTCTCACCATGGATATTATGAACAAGAAATATTTATTGGATGAATAAATGAAGCAGTGCTAACAAGTCCACAGAAATCATATTTAGCTTTAGAAAGAGGACTGTAACTTCTGGCCAATATGCTGGACAGACCTAACAAGGCAAGTACCTCACACAACAGTGAACACATAGAAATGCTTAATAAAACAGAGAAAAAGAATTCAATACACAGTGGAGCTCAGACGCAATAAAGGAAAATCCTTAAGTGCTATAAATGTAAGTGTAATTCAAAGCCTGAGTGGTAAGCAGGAGCTGAGCCCAAAGGGGTACCAAAGCCTGTAGGGGTACCTATGGGGTACCAAAACCAGCTGCAGACTTTTGGAGTGGTCCTCTCCTGGACAGATGAGGTCTCAGACCCATGATACAGAGAACTGAAACTGAGAACAAGGCATCAACGGCATTATCAACAATAGCCAAACTATGGAAAGGCTCAAATGTCCACTGACTGATGAATGGATAAAGAAGATGTGGTGTGTATGTATGTCTGATGTGTGTGTGTGTATATGTGTGATATGTGTATACACACACACATATATATGTATATATAATAGAATATTACTTAGCCATCAAAAAGAATGAAATCTTTCCATTTGCAACAACATGGATGGAGCTACAGTGTCTTATGCTAAGTGAAATGATGTCAGCCAGAGAAAGACAAATACTCTATGCTTTCACTCATATGTGGAATTTAAGAAACAAAACAGAAAAGCATATGGGAGGGGGAAAAAAAGAAAAAGGGAAACAAATCATAAGAGACTCTTTGATTTTTTATTTTTATTTAATAATTTATTTTTAAATTTATATCTAAGGTAGTTAGCATATAGTGCAACAATGATTTCAGGAGTAGATTCCTTAATGTCCCCCACCCATTTAGCTCATCCCCCCTCCCACAACCCCTCCAGTGACCCTCTGTTTGTTCTCCATATTTAAGAGTCTCTTATGTTTTGTCCCCCTCCCTGTTTTTATACTATTTTTGCTTCCCTTCCCTTATGTTCATCTGTTTTGTATCTTAAATTCCTCATATGAGTGAAGTCATATATTGGTCTTTCTCTGACTAATTTTGCTTCGTATGATACCCTCTAGTTCCATCCCCGTAGCTGCAAATGGAAGAGATTCTTGATGATAGAGAACAAACTGAGGGTTGATGGAGGGAGGTGGGTGGAGGATGGGCCAGATGGGTGATGAGTATTAAGAAGGTAATTGTTATGATGAGCAGTGGCTGTTGTATGTAATGATGAATCTCTAAATTCTACTCCTGAAACCAATAATGCTGTATGTTAACTAACTAGAATTTATTTAATATTTATTTATTTATTTATTTATTTAGAGACAGTGTGCATGAGTGGGGGAGGAGCAGAGAGAGGGGAAGACAGAGAATCAATCCCAAGTATGTTCTGCACTGTCAGCGCAGAGCCCAATGTGGGGCTCAAACTCTCGAACCTTGAGATCATGACCTGAGCCAAAATCAAGAGAGGGATGCTTAACTGACTGAGCCACCCAGGTGCCCCATTATCTAACTAGAATTGAAATAAAAATTAAAAAAAAATAATAATGAAAAGATCAAGGCCTAAAGATAAGCCCTGACAAGTCTCACCTGTCCTTGGATCAGGGACTAAAAACATCTGCTGCTGACTTAGGTTGGAAGAAGGCTGGCCAAGTGCCTCAGGCCACAGATGAAAAAGAAATAACCCAAGAGGAATCTGACTCCTAATCCCACACCTGTATGTGGTTCAAATCATACTGCCAAAGTGCTATGGGAATCTCAAGTAAGATCAACATAAAACCAGTCCAAAAGTGAGAAACCCAGAGGAGCCTGGCAGAGACAACTGAAATCTCTCTGTAGGGGTGCTGCGCAGGTTGGCATGCAAGGCTCCTGCTAGAATGGGTATAAAATAAAGATGTTTTCTGACATCCAGAGACTGAAATGGAGTTCACCTGTCACAGGTATACTTGAGCAAGAATGAAAATGAACCAAAAAAGAAGGCATGGGGTGTAAGGAGTCATGGTGAGAAGGATACTGGGAAATATTGATAGTAAAGATTTCTGTAATGATAAGAAAGGCACATTTTTTGAGGGGTTAAAACCAAGGAAGAACAATAGCAACATATTTAGGGATATGTCTCCTCAGGCGAGGGAACCAAAAGCAAAAATATTAGGACTATGCCAAAATAAAAAGCGTTTGTATCAACAAAAGAAAAAGGCAACCTAGTGAATGAGAGAAGATATTTCCAAATGATATACCCCATAAGGGGTTAATACTTAAAACATGTAAAGAACTATAACTCAATACCAAAAAAGCTAATCTGATTAAAAACTGGGTAGGGGTGCCTTGGTGGCTCAGTTAGTTAAGCCTCTGACTCTTGAGTTCTGCTCAGGTCATGGTCTCATGGTTCATGAGATTGAGCCCCACATTGACCTCTGCACTGACAACAAGCCTGCTTGCGATTCTCTCCTTCCCTCTCTCTTCCTCTCCCTCTGCTCTTCCTATCTCATGCTCTTTCTCTCTCTCTCTCAAAATAAGTAAATAAAAACATTAAAAAAAATGTGTAGAGGACCTGAAGAAACGTTTTCCCAAAAAAGACCTACAGATGGCCAACAG